TAGAAGATCCCTCCTAAGACACATAATCATCAGATTCTCCAAAGTTAAAATGAAAGAAAAAATGTTAAAGGCAGCTAGAGAGAAAAGTCAGGTCATCTGTAAAGGGAAGCCCATCAGACTAAAAAATGGACCTCTTAGCAGAAACCCTACAAGCCAAAAGAGCTTGGGGGGGGCAATATTCAACATCCTTAAAAGAAATTCCAACCCAGAATTTCATCTCTGCACAGACTAAGCTTCATAAGCAAAGGAGAAATAAGATCCTTTTCAAATAAACAAATGCTGAAGGAATTCCTTACCTCCAGACCTGCCTTACAAGAGCTCCTGAAGGAAGTACCAAATATGGAAAGGAAACACCATTACCAGCTACTAACACTAAAGTACAGAGACTACTGACACTGTAAAGCAACCACTAAACAAGTCTGCAAAATAACCAGCTAACATCATGATAACAGGATCAAATCCTCATATATCAATACTAACCTTGAATATAAATGAGCTAAATGCCCCAATTAAAAGGCACAGAGTGGCAAGCTGGATGAAGAACCAAGACCCATTGATATGCTATCTTCAAGAAACCTATCTTACATACAGTGACACACATAAGCTCAAAACAAAAGGGACTGAGAAAAATCTACCAAACATATGGAAAACACAAGAAAGCATTGGTATGCTATCTTCAAGAAACCTGTCTTACCTGCAGTGACACACATAAGCTCAAAACAAAAGGGATTGAGAAAAATCTACCAAGCAAATGGAAAATAGAAGAAAGCAGGAGTTATAATTTCAGACAAAACAGATTTTAATTCAACAAACATCAAAAAAGACAAAGGCATTACATAATGGTAAAGGGTTAAATTCAACAAGAAGACATAACTGTTTTAAATATATATGCATGTAACACAGGAGCACTCAGACTCATCAAGCAGTTTCTTAATGACCTTCAAAGAAACTTAGACTCCCACACATTAATAGTGGGAGACTTTAACATCCCACTGACAACATTAGACCATAAAGATAAAAAATTAACAAAGATATTCAGGACCTGAACTCAGCACTGGATGAAATGGACCTGATAGACATCTACAGAACTTTTCACCCTAAAACAACAGAATATACATTTTTTCATTGCCATGTGTCATGTACTCCAATATCAATCACATAATCAGAAATAAAAGACTCCTCAGCAAATGCAGAAGAAATTAAATAGTAACAACCAATCTCTCAGACCAGAGAGCAATCAAATTAGAAATCAAGACTAATAAATTCACTCAAAACCATACAATTACATGGAAATGGAATAATCTGCTCCTGAATTAATTTTGGGTAAATAATGAAATGAAGGGGGAAATCAAGAAATTCTTTTAAACTAATGAGAGCAAAGATACAACATACCAGAATCTCGGGGACACAGCTAAGGCAGTTTTAAGAGAGAAATTTATAGCAGCAAATGCCTACATCAAAAAGTTAGATCTCAATTTAACAACCTAACACTACAATTAAAAGAGCTAGAGACCCAAGAGAAAACCAACTCTAAAGCTAGCAGAAGACAAGAAATAACCAAAATCAGAGCTGAACTGAAGGAGATTGAGACACGAAAATCTATTCAAAAGATCAATGAATCCTGGAGCTGTTTTTTTTTTTAAAATTAATGAAATAGACTGCTAGCTAAGCTAATAAAGAAGAAAAGAGAGAAGATGTACATGAACACAATCAGAAACGGCAAGTGGGGTGTCACCACTGACCCCATAGAAATACAAATAATCATCAGAATATTATGAACACTTCTGTGCACATAAACTAGAAAATCTAGAAGAAATGGATAAATTCCTGGATACACACACACTCTCCCAAGACTGAAACAGGAAGAAGTTGAATCTCTGAACAGACCAGTAACCAGCCCTGAAATAGAATCAGTAATAAATATTCTACCAATCAAAAGAAAAGAAAAGAAAAAGCCCAAGAGCAAACGGATTCACAGCTGAATTCTACCAGATATACAAAGAAGAACTGGTACTATTACTGCTGAAACTGTTCCCATAAATAACTAAATAAGTAAGTAAGGATGAAGGACTCCTCTCTAACTCATTCTATGAGACCCACATCATCCTGATACCAATGACAGAGACACCACACCAAAAAAGAAAACTTCAGGCCACTATCCTTGATAAACATCAGCGGAGAAATCCTCAACAAAATACTGGCAAACTGAATCCAGCAGCACATCAGAAATCTTATCCACCACGATCAAGTAGGCTTTATCCCTGGGATGCAAAGTTGGTTCAACATATTCATATCAATAAATGTATTTCATCACATAAACAGAACAAAAGACAGACACCACATGATTATTTCAAAAGATGCAGAAGAGGCTTTTGATAAAAATTCAGCATCCTTTCATGTTAAAACCTCTGAATAAACTAGATGTTGAAGGAATATACCTCAAAATAATAATAAGAGCCATATATGACAAACCCACAGCCAAGATCATATTGAATGGGCAAAAGCTGGAAGCATTTCCCTTGAAAACCAGCGTAAGACAAGATGCCCCCTCTCACCACTCCTATTCAACATAGTAGTGGAAATTCTGGCCAGGACAATCAGGCAAAAGAAAGAAATAAAGGGCATGCAGACCGGAAGAGAGGAAGTTCAAACTATCTCCATTTGCAGATGACATGATCCTGTATATAGAACACCCCATAGTCTTGGCCCTAAATCTTCTTAAGCTGATAAACAATTTCAGCAAAGTCTCAGGATACAAAATTGATGTACAAAAATCCCTAGCATTCCTATACACCAAACACCAGTAGCTGAGAGCCAAATCGCAGAATGCGAGTCTAATCGCAATTGCACAAAAAAAATAAGTATAACAATACCTAGGAATGGACAGGTATACAGCAAGCCGTGAAGCTGGTGCGTGAGCTGGGGGGTGTTTGGTGGAAAGAGCTCTGACAATGGGAGGAACTACCAAAACACTGTCAAAGAAATCAGCAGTGAATCTTGTATATCTATATATCATATATGTATATATGGAAGGATCAATAATATGCTGTGCCAATTAACTTACTAGGTCATATGATGCTATTCTTCACAGTTATACTAGAAAAAAAAACTTTATTTTTAAAATTGCACCAAAGATAGCCAAAAAGTATTTAAATCCGGCTAAAAGCCAAGGCAATCCTAAGCAAAAGAACAAAGCTGAGGATCATACTACTTGACTTAGAAACTATACTATAGGGCTACAGTAACCAAAACAGCATGCTACTGGTATAAAAACAAACACATAGGGCAATGGAACAGAATGGAGAACCCAAAAATAAGATCACACACCTGCAACTATCTGATCTTTGATGAAGCTGACAAAAACAAGCAATGGGGAAAGAGTTCCCTATTCAGTAAATGGTGATGGGAAAACTGACTAGCCATGTGCAGAAGATTGAAACTAGACCCCTTCCGTACACCATGTACAAAAGATAACTCAAGATGGATTAAAGACTTAAATTTAAAACCTAAACTATAAAAACCTTGGAAGACAACCAAGGCAATACCATTCTGGACATAGAACAGTCAAAGATTTTATGACGAAGACTCCAAAACCAATTGCAACAAAAGCAAAACTTGACAAATGGAATCTAATTAAACTACAGAGCTTCTGAACAGCGAAAGAAACTATAACAGAGTAAACAGATAACCTACAAAATAGGAGAAAATATTTTCCAACTGTGCATCTGACAAAGGTCTAATATCCAGCATCTAAAAGGAACTTAAACAAATTTACAAGAAAAAAAACAAACCCCATTAAGAAGTGGGCAAAGGACATGAACAGCCACTTTTCAAAAGAAGACATACATGAGGCCAACAAACATGAAAAAAAGCTCAATGTCACTGATCATTAGAGAATTGCAAATCAAAACCACAATGAAATACCATCTCACACCAGTCAGAAGGGCTACTATGAAAAAGTCAAAAAAACAACAGATGCTGGTAAGGTTGCAGAGAAAAAGGAACATTATACACTGTTGGTGTATAAGGTAGAATTGTAAATTACTTCAACCATTGTGGAAGACAGTGTGGCAATTCCTCCAAGACCTAAAAACAGAACTACCATTCAACCCAGCAATCCCATTACTGAGTATATACCCAAAGGAATATAAATCATTCTGTCATATGCACGTGTATGTTCATTGCAGCACTATTTACAATAGCAAAGACATGGAATCAACATAAAGGCCCATCAATAGTATGTTGGATAAAGAAAATGTAGTACAGATACACCATGGACTACTATGCATCCATTAAAAAAAAGAACAGGATCATGTCCTTTGTAGAAACATGGATGGAGCTAGAGGTCATTATCCTTAGCAAACTAATGAAGCAGCAGAGAACCAAATACTGCATGTTCTCACTTATAGGTGGAAGCTAAATGATGAGAACACATGGACACATAGAGGGGAACAACAACAACAAACACTGGGGTCTCTCAGAGGATGGAGGGTGGGAGGAGGGAAAGGATCAGAAAAAATAACTAATGGGTACTAGGATTAATACCTGGGTGATAAAATAATCTATACAACAAACCCAAGTTTAGCTGTGTAACAAACCTGCACATATACCCCTGAACTTAAAAGTTAAATCAAAAAGATACATTATATTTATGAATAACTGAAAATTTAGTTTCTTGTATGCATGAAAAATATTTGTGCTAACAGACCTTAGATGATTCAACTCAACATACTCTTGGATTTAACTAAAAATATAACGATTTTCCAAGCTATTAATTGTGATTTTTCTCTTTCAGTAGTGTTGTTTATTAGTGCTGAAAATGTTAACATATTGCTCTACAACCATGCAGAAGGAATTAATGAGCTGCTGTTGTCTTTTTTCATAAGCACATCTAATTTGCTCATTCATCCACTTGTTCATTTGTTCTACCCTTATTTAGCCAGGCAAAAGAGAGAGTGCAGTCATTCCTAATCATCATGATTTGTTTTCCTTTTTTTCAGCCATGCAATGATGGACCTACTGGTTGAACTTTGCCTTCAGAACCACCTGAATCCATCCCACCACGCCCTTGAAATTCGGTCTTCAGAAACCCAACAGCCTTTGAGTTTTAAGCCAAATACTTTGATTGGGACCCTGAATGTGCATACTGTGTTTGTGAAAGAAAAAGTTCCTGAAGAGAAGGTTAAGCCTGGTCCCCCTAAGGTGCCTGAGGTTAGTAGGTACCTACATGGAGATACCTGTGTCTGAATGTGTGGCAGGTCCTGAGTAGGGGCAGTGTGGCTCTTCTTATCTAAATACAACGCAGAGATTTGTGGCTGAGGCTGCCACTTTCATGCCAGGAAAAGCTAGGCACTAAACAGAGTTTGTTTTAGGAGACAAAATTTACAGAACTGAATAATGTTCATCGTTGTAACATTGCTCCTTTATATATCATAGAAGAGGAATTGATCTACAGTGAGCTATCCATTAGACCTTCATTCAAAGAGGGACATAGTCTTTAATTCTGTACTTTCTAATATGATAGTCACTGGCCACATGCAGCTTTTTTTTAAAAATTTGGTGTGTTTATTATTGTTATTGTTATTCATGTAGATTTTTCTTTTTTCATTTTAATTGACATACAGCTTTTGAACACTTGAAATGTGGCTGGTGTGATTGAGAAACTGAATTTTTAATTTAATTTTAATTTTAAATTTAAATTGCCACTAGCTAATAGCTACCTGATTGGACAGTGTAGTTCTAGAATTATTCCTGACTCAGGAAGCAGTTGGCATCTGTAGAGGATTTAAACATCTTCCCAGAAGAAGAGAATAAAAAGGGAAAAATTTTTTTTTGAAAAAATGATGTCAGAAATATTTATTCATTGCATTTGGAGAATGTCTTATATACATACCTGTATTCCAGGCTTTTATTCATTAAAATTGATTCTGGTAGCTTATTATATACTTTTATTGTTTTTGTTGTTGTTTTGAGATGGACCTTCACTCTCGTTGCCCAGGCTGGAGTGCAGTGGTGTGATCTTGGCTCATTGCTACCTCTGCCTCCCAGGTTCAAGCAGTTCTCCTGCCTCAGTCTCCGGAGTAACTGGGACTACAGTTGCATGCCACCATGCCCAGCTAATTTGTGTATTTAGTAGAGACAGGGTTTCACCATGTTGGCCAGTCTGGTCTTGAACTCCTGACCTCAGGTGATCCACCTACCTCAGCCTCTCAAAGTGCTGGGATTACAGGCCTGAGCCACCATACCTGGCCTTATTGTACTTTTAAATAAGTCTTTGATACTAATCTTTTAGCTCAAATTAAAAGCAATGTTACTTTCAGATTCTTAGCGGATCTTCTAAATTTTCCTGCTTTTAAAAATGGCAGTGCAGCCAATATTAATCTCCTATTAATTTCTAGGATTGATTGGTTAGTGCATTCTCATTGTTGCTCTAGAACACTCTGACCAGAGATTTCCCCTTATTCCTCAAGTAAACAGTGTTTGAGGCAGAGCATCTCTGTATATACCCTGTGTCTTCCCTTGACTTCCTGCTTCTTAGGGCAGGTAAGCCCAGGCGCATGCATGATCCCACTTGTTAGGGCAGGAGAGGACCAGTAAAGGAGCAGTAGGTTCCATATTGTCTCCCAAAATTCCTCGTTCTCCCAGCCACTGGGCCCTGGTACGCAGGCTGGAAGAGAGCGTGAGGCCTTTCTTTGCTGCTCTTTTGTTCAATCTACATTTACTATGTCCAGCTCTGCAGTGTCTTAGCACAATTAGGATGATCAGTAAAAGCGCAAGAAAAATGATCAGTAAAAGTGGAAGAAAAATGACTACCACTTTATCTGCAGTCATTTAGAATTAGTATTAGTCAATGGAGTGTTTTTCTTCGTATTATATGCCTGGTATTTTTTTAAATAAAATATATTTCTAGCTTAAATACATATGTGTAGTGTGTATACATAAATACATGTAAGTCTGTGTACACACTGTATATGTTTCACGTATGTGTGTATATAGTACGTATGTACACTATATATATATATATTTACATCTGTGTACATATAGAGGTGTTCCTATATTTATGTGGATATTTTGACTCCTTAAAACTTTGATGTCATGTTTTTGGGGGGTTTTTCTTTAAATTATTCATACTACTTCCAAACTATTTTCTTTAGAAAATGCATGTAAGTGCCATGTGTTCACATCTGGCCAGAACCCTTGGAAGACAGTAAAGTTTATGTGTTGGATTTTAAATGTAGAGTCCTCCCTGATGTTTATTTCGCTGTGGTGTTAGCAGCTTGTTCACTAGTAAGAGATTCTAAACCAAATTTATTATTCTAGACATTTGTTTTTCAATATTCATTATGCCATTTTCCCCCATGACTCACTCAATTTGTGGAAGAAAGATTCGGGCTACACACAATCCTGTCCCACCCAACTGTCAAACTGACACAGGAGTTGAAGCCTTGTAGGAGGATGTCTTACCAAATTCTTTTTGCCTGTGTATTCTTCCAGAAATCTGTGCGTTTGGTCGTGAATTACCTGCGGACACAAAAAGCTGTTGTGCGTGTGAGCCCTGAGGTTCCTCTCCAGAATATTCTCCCAGTCATTTGTGCAAAGTGTGAGGTCAGCCCAGAGCATGTGGTTCTCCTCAGGGACAACGTTGCCGGAGAGGAGTTGGAGCTGTCCAAGTCCCTGAACGAGCTCGGGATAAAGGAGCTCTACGCATGGGACAACAGAAGAGGTGAGGCCCCGCTGCGTCTTATGCACATGCCCATAATCACATAGATGCGCGGCTTGCACATGTCCCCTGTTGGCTCTCCTCAGCACTCTCGGCAGCGCCACGGAGAGATGGGTACATGAAGTTCCAGGCAAGTCAAGTTGAAGTAGGCAAAAAAGAAATTTGGCCTGTTTTCCTTCCTCTGGATTGAACTGTGCCTCCTTTCTCCCAGCCCTGAACATGTCCTTTATCCTTTGTCTCCCTGCAAACTTCCATGACATAAGTAAAAGGGGAAAAGGTGAGGCGAGGTGAGAGCTTATGCTCTGAAGTAACTACTCCAAACCATCTATAATACTTTATTGTGGGTTGGTGGCTCACACTTGTAATCCTGGCACTTTGAGAGGCTGAGGCAGGAGGATGACTGGAGCTCAGGAGTTCAAGACCAGCCTGGACAAAATAGTGAGACCCCATGTCTACAAAAAATTTTAAACTTAGCCAGACGCGGTGGTGCATCCCCATTCCTGTAGTCCTATCTACTTGAGAGGCTGAGGCTGGAGGATCGCTTGAATCGAGGAGGTTGAAGCTGCACTGAGCTATTATCACATGATTGCCCCCAGCCTAGGCAACAGAGTGAGACCCTGTCTCTTAAAAAAAAAAAAAATTATCTTGATTTTCTTTTTCAGTTGCCATTAGCTGCTATTCCCAGGTTTCAAATATTGCTCATATCTAAAACCAGTGGCAGAAATGCATTTAGCTGTTCTCTAAAACTGAACAGTTACAGTGCATGAGATCCATTCCTGAAGATAACTTTAGGGCCACCTTAGGCCTCCTTACTGTGTTGCCAGTGTCATCCTGCTCATCGTGTGAATCTGGCTCTTTGTATGAGGCCACTGTTAGAGCCACTGGTGAGAGTGGCAACCCAGAGTCCTTGCTGGTGCAGAAACTGATATGTTGTGTAAGCACATGTTTCTGATTGATATAGAGTGCTAACTGCATATTTTAACTACTGTCAGACCACAGGAAATGTTATATTCCTTGACCTTAGAATGATCAAAATGGACTTTGTAAAAGTTTCTCTCCTAATGAGCCTCTTTTTATGTCTCTTGTCTCTATTTCATTATTCCACAAATATTGAATAGGTTGAGTTTTAAAAATATATACATATTCAAGTTTCTCCTGTGTTTCTATGGCTTTTTTTCTAATTTTTTCCAACAAAAATGTGTTTTTTCTTTTCTTTTCTTTTTTTTTTTTTTTTGAGATGGAGTTTCACTCTTATACTCCAAGCTGGAGTGCAATGGTGCGATATTGGCTCACTGCAACCTCCATCTCCCAGGTTCAAGTGATTCTCCTGCCTCAGCCTCCTGAGTAGCTGAGATTACAGGTACCCGCCACCATGCTCGGCTAATTTTTGTATTTTTAGTAGAGACAGGGTTTCACCACGTTGGCCAGGCTGGTCTCGAACTCCTGACCTCAGGTGCTCCTCCCGCCTTGGCCTCCCAAAGTGCTGGTATTACAGGCATGAGCCACTGCGCCTGGCCATATTTTTTCTTAATACCAAGTTTATTGTGAAATCCATGATCATAGTGGAATCTCTGTCCAGTCTGCCCTCTCCCCGCCAAGTCAGCCCTTGTCTTCCTGGGTATCTGGCATCTAGATCTGATTTGACATTCAAGAGAGGGTTTTGGCTCAATTGAGTGTAAGATACATGGACTATTTATTCCTTCAAAAAACGTACTTTGACATTTGAGAATAATGCATCTTGTGTTTTATCCAGTGTCTTTTTAAAACACAGACAGAAATACTCTCAGCATCGCTGCACAGGCCTGGTGGCACTGAGTATATCAGCACTATTGAAATTTGCTTTACATGACTCTTTGGAAACAGCTTCCATTTGTTAAGATAAAAAGAAAAATGAAAGGAAAACTGTTCCACATTCAAGTGTCTGAAATAAAAAGGCTTACAAGTGTTTCTGTTACATGCCACCACTTGACTGTATCTTGAAAGGTACATCTTGAACCTGGCACTTGGGAGAAGTCATATAAAACCTGCCTGTCTGTGAAGGAGAGGACCCAATCTAGCCTATGGTCATTGGAAATGCAGGAACTCAAGTGTTCATGTGATCAGGGGCCCAGAGCATTTCTTCTGATCCTCATACGGGGCAGAGCAGAACATACTGGTGCAGTCAGCTTGGCCGTTCAGATTTTGAAGCACTTCTGCCCTTGGTGGGGACTAGCTGCTTCCAAACCCCCAAGTCCCCCTCTCTACTGCCTTGGACATTTTGGCCCTTTCCACCCCACCCCCAAGGCACCACGAGCTTCCCCACCGTGGGGACTGTGCTCCAGCCCTGTGGCCAGCACCCCTCTCATCTGGACCATGCCTGTGCCATGCCAACTGTGACATTTGATTACCATCCCTGCCAAGTGCCTGCCTCCTGCTCACTGTCAAATATTTGAAAAGACACTTGTCCAGAGACCATCCCCAAGGCTCCCTTTTTCCCCTACAACTGCCCTGGGCAGGCCTGCTGGGTGCTGCTGGAGGAACCCTTGCTTTCACTCCTCTTGGTATTCCACTTGGAGGAGAAAGGCATCCACTCCTGAGCCCTACCACTGCTGGAGAACAGAAGGGCAGCTGGCTGGAGGCAAGGCATTGCTAGGCAGAGGCCGGCCCTCCCCTGGAATCCCTGGTGGGGGCATCTTGAAAAAGCCAAGGGCTCTGCTGCCACCTACGTCCACAGAGGCGCTTAGCAGGCTGTGTAGCTGCAGCCCCGAGAGGGCCAGCCCCGAGAGGCAAGCTGACCCAGCAGGAGGCCTTCTCACTGCTGCAGCAGGACAGCCCCCTCTGAGCCTTGTGAGAGCCAAGGCCTGGCTCAGGGGCTCCCACACATCTTGAAGCTGGACCTCACTCTCTCATTACCTGCCTTTTCCAGTTCATCTGACCAAAACTCAGTCCGAGCCTTCCCTGAGCTGTCAAGGTACAGTGAACCTGGGGCTTCCCGCTCCCCCTGTGAGGCTGCACTTTGCATGGCTCTAGGGTCAGAGCTGCACGGAGGTGATGTTTTTGTGCCAGGCTCCAAGGAATGGAAGTTTGGCTTGGGGCCCTTCTGGAGGTGCATGCCAGGCCGACATGAGATTTTGGTTTGGTTTCTTGATTACCTGGTTGGTTCAGAGAAGAATGCTTCTTATGAGAATTTGCCGAGAGAGAATTTGCCGTGATGAGAAAATGCTTCTTATGAGAATTTCTCATCTAATTGGTGGGGAATGAGGGAGGCAGTCACAGAAAACAAATTCTGTTGCCCAGTAATTCAAGACAGAGCAGAAGTGGTGCACACAGGAAAGACACCCTTTCCTTTTCACCTCTGCCTGCCCGTGCTTACCTGCCCCTGAAGGCCATCCTGCATGCTACAGAATTTGGGACAGTATGGATTTTAAAATTTAACCTTTTCTGTCATAGACAAGTATGCAAATGATTAGTCCATATTTTACATTTATTCTGACATCTATTTAAAAGTTTCTCTCATAGAGATATTTCTGTACAGAAAGAGATATTTCTATACAGAAAGAGATGTTTATATGTATATATAGACAGATACAGAGATACATTGTGTGTGTGTGTGTATATATATATACTTAATCATATACACATATGCATATGCATATATAGAATGCCCATTGTACATTTGCAGATGTTGACCTGGTCCCCTCCTTCCATTTACTGCTTACTGGCCTTGTCCTGGTCACTGAGTCTCCTCCTCTAGACAAGTGAGTGGTTTGGACTTGTTGGTCTTTAAGGGTCCTTCATCCTTCATCCTTCTCTGCCCTTCTGTAATTCATCTTTAACATTTTTCAAATCATTGTAATGCCTCAGAAAGTAAAACTTTCTTGCAGATTCAGTGTGTGAGTCCAGATTTTTCTTAATATTTAATTACTTGTAAATTAGAGTAAATTCAAACAAAATAAATGCCACCCTCAGCTTATCATACCATAGGCACCGTGGGTTCTAGAGCTCACTTGCGTATGTTCGAGGGCTGGCTACGCATCAGTTGTTCATTGTTGCTCTGCTTTATAGCCAGGCAGCCTCTGGACATTTTGGCTGATGGCAACACTGAGTTCCACTTTTCTCCCAAACCAATTCTTCTTCAGTGTCTGCCAAGCCTCAGAGGCCTCATAGGAGACCCCTATCAGTCAGTGACTGAGACCAAAGCCTCACCTCTAAAAATAGACCATCTGCGTTAGGCCCAGCTCAGCATTGTGAGTCTCAGGCCCCTGGTGCCTCTAGACAGCTGCGGGCTGTAGCTGCATGAGAAAAGCGTCACTACTGTTGAGGGGCAGTTCTGGTGCCAGGGCTGTCCTGGACCCTTCGTCAGGGAGCCGACCTCAGTCCTTAGGGGTGATGATCAGCCACTGTGTCATTCAAGAAGAGAAACAACAGGCTAGATTTCCTTGCAGTTTTCTGATGCAGTCTGTCCTTTCTGTGGTCAGTGTAATACAGCTTGTGTACCAGGAACATGTTCTACTTCTCGATTATCAGTAGGAGACTATGATGCCACCTGTTTTAACATTGACAGTTTCTCAACTTACGATTTTTCAACTTTACCATGGTGCAAAAGTGCTATGCATTCAGTATGCTCCTGGACTTACGATGGGGTCACATCTGGATAAAGCCATCGTGAACTGACAATGTAACCCCATCGTCAGTTCGCGAGCATCCGTTGGTCCATGTCACATACCACTCAATTCTGGAAACATCCTTGGTTATAAACATACATATTAAAGCATATAATAGTTTAGATGCAGTCTTAACTGTGTGCTCTGTTTTCCTCTTTATAGCTCTGTAGCTAATAGAGGGCTTGCTGCAACTAACTTTGCAGCACGTTTGCACACACGCGTTGGTGCTGCTGCACCATGTTGCAGCGGGCCCTCTGGTTTGGGTACTGTGCGTTGTGGAGCCTGCTTGGTGCCTCCGCTGGAGCCTCCTGCATGTAACTGAGTGTCCTGGCCCTGCCCTGGTGGCTAGGACATGCACCTGTGCTCCTACAGAGTGGTTTCAGGAGCACGTGTGCTGGGTTTTTGCTTTGCTGTGTGGACACTATCAGTGTTCACGCCTATGTTATTAATGCACTGACTGCTGTGTGTGTTCTCTAACTCAAATGTGAAATCATATATTAGCAGATCAAGAAGTTAATTGAGGGTTACCTTATTTGCATTAATAGTCTGATGGCAGAATTTGTAAAATCCCAGTCCATGATTCTGCCACCAGTGGTCTAGTGCTCTTGCTCTTGTCTAGAGCGGTTGGCAGTGATATGGGAAAAACCATTTTTCTATCCTCCAGGAACACCTCCACTTTCCTTCCTCTTGTCATATCTGTATGCCCTGGCAGAGAAGAATAGAATGAAGTAATGACAAAGGCCTTTCCTGAGCAAATAAATACATGATACTAGTGAGCAGTGTGCTGAGCTGTGTGAGTGCCACCATGTGCGCTTAGCACACTCGCCCTCAACCTGCACATGAAGCTGCTGAGACTTGGAGAAGCTAGGTGGTTTTCCCAAGTGTGCCTCACACATGTGCACTCTTAATCTCTCAGCAGCACTCCCCCAAGCGTGTTCTCCAGACCCTCAGCTTAAGCCTCCTTAGGGGCTAGTTTGACTGTGTAGTGCTAGGCCCTGCACCCAGGGCTTCTTGTTCTGGGGGTCTGGAGTGGGCCCAAGGATTCTTATCTCTCACAAGTTCCCAGCGATGCTGATGCTGCAGGTTCCGTCTCGCTTTGGGAACCATGACCCGTGGCTGTCTTGTCAGCTGGCAGGCACATCTGGGCTCCAGTGTGCTTCTCTGGAATTTGGAAGTGTCCAACTTGGCTCTAGAATCCTGATGAAGAAAAATTCAAGAGGGGTTGAGGATTTCGAGCTTCAGAAAAAAGGAAGAAGAAAACAGTTGCCCTCCCTAGAGAATGTAATTTGAAAGGAAAACATTCTGGATGCAGTAGAAGGAAAATCTGGAAATGTGGTTCCTGGGAGATTTGATGTGGTTGTTTCAAATACCACCTGGGGAGCCCATACTGTTACTCCATTTTCTGGAAATGAGCAGGAAGGCTGCTGATTTAGTTAAAGTTTGTACCTCACTCATAATTCTTAAAGCAGGTGTATTGCACTGATGTCACAGTCTTAGAGCTGTGCTGATTTGGCAGCCACAGGCCTCATGTGGCTCTTGCATGTGCCCAGTCCATACTGAGATGTGCTGTAAGCCTAAAGGCCTGCTGGATTTTGAAGACTTAGCACCAAAACCAATGTAAAATATCTCATCAATACTTTTTATATTGACTACATGATAGAATGATAATATTTTAGATATATTGGATTAAATGAAATTATTACAATTAATTTTACTTGGTTCTTTTTAATGTAGCTACTAGAAAATGTAAAATTACATATGTGGTCTGGTTTAGCTTTCTGTTGGACAGCTCTGCCCTAGAACTTTATTAATTTTGTCATTCTCCAAAAGGGCACAACCATACCCAGAGAAAATGCCTTCATCATCCCTAAAAGACTGTGTAAGAACCTGTAGTGATTTCCCAAATGGGCATGAGGCCTTGAGGACAGCTTTGAAAGAAATAGTTGATGGTTTTCCCTCTTTTACAAGAACTAAAAGTTTAAGAGTAGAGGATTCATTTATTAAGATTTTTGAAGTGAAGTATTTAATCTCTTGTTTCAGATTCTGAAAAATAACTTAGTGCTTTTTTTTTCCAGAAACCTTTAGGAAATCATCACTTGGCAATGATGAGACAGATAAAGAGAAGAAAAAATTTCTGGGATTTTTCAAAGTTAATAAAAGAAGCAATAGTAAGGTAATGGATTAAATACACATATGATTTTGTATCGTGTAAAAAAATAGTCTCTTGAGATATATGCATTCAACCTGTCCTGGAACTTCTCTAAATAATTCTATTTAGGAATACTAATTCCTTCAGGTAAAACAGCTTATTAGCATGCACTGGAATGACGGGCTGTGCTTCCACACTTGATCCCAAAAGGAGTCGTCTTGGGTGATGGTGTTTTATTCACTGGGAGACAGGAAGCCTGTAGGCTCCTGATGACCAGGGCCATGAGCCCTTCTGCCTGTGGGTGTTCTGGTGCATTCGCAGACCTCTGCCTGTGGCTGAAACTCAGGAAATCTTGTTGAGATTAATAAATGAGTGAATGGATGTTATAATTAAGTGTAAACAGTCAATATTACGATCAGTGAACTGTAGCTTATGCCTTGTGGCAGAGAAGAGTATCAGTCATTGAACTTGTCTGCTTGCTAGTAATTTTTAGTTGTTCTTTGGTACTCCTGATATGATCTGGGAATATACCATGTGATAAGTTAATTTTATTGATCTTGTTGGTGTTTATAAAACACATCTCAAAGTCATATTTTGGACACAATAGAGTAATTAAGTCATAGTACCCAGAATAAAAATGAAGATTTTTATAATTAATTATAAGATTATCAAACCCATAAATGCCTTCTGATTACCAAGAAAAGAAAATGCTCATTATCCCTATTTATATTTGTTTCACAAGTATATTTTACTAATATCTAGTATTTTATCCTTACTAATAAATGAGACTAAAAAAGACAAAACTGTTCCAGTGAATGTTAAGTGTTAATTCCACTAGCTCAGTTTGGAAGCGTGCTCCATCTGTATATTTGTAGAAGAGATGTGAAGACTGGGGACTCAAGTTTGTGTTCAGACCTTCTCAGTGCCGTGGTGCAGATAGGTGCATGTAGCCCAAGGCTGGACACCCGATTTCCTGCCCTTCAGTGGCCTGTGGTGCAGCCTCTGCTGTTAAAATTGTGTTTCACAGGTTTGCTGGTATCGATACCAGAGCTCAGAGAAATAAAGTAACCTTCTTAGTGTCCCAGGCTTAGACACAGATGTGTCTGCGTGCAGAGCCAGCACGTCCCTGTAGCCCTGTGGTATTTGGGAAGGGAAGAGGAGAATGAGAGCCAGATGAGAACAGAAGTTCCAGTGGAGCTCAGCTGAACTGACAGAGACTTTCTGTCTTTAAGAGTTTTTCACAAACCTCAGATTATTTTTTCTTCACCTCTGCTGAAGCTTCGGTAATGGTTTTGTGATTCTCTTATACTTAAGAGATTGTGCTTTTCCCCATGTTTCTGCATGTCCTTTGAAAATCTGTACTCCATGCATGTCTATGTAAGACCTTTGGATCCCTGACATTTTCTATCCCCTCACTCTCTCCAACTATCCCTTCCTCTCCTCTTCTCTTCCGCCCTACTCTCCCGACTTCCTTTCCTATTAGAATTATTTGAAATTACAGAATTAGAATTTTGTGACTGGGTGCAGTGGCTCGCAAATGTAATCCCAGCACTTTGGGAGGCTGAGGTGGGCAGGTCACCTCAGGTCGGGAGTTCAAGACCAGCCTGGCCAATGCAGTGAAACCCTGTTTCTACTAAAAATACAAAAATTAGCGAGGCGTACTGGCAGGTGCCTGTAACCTGAGCTACTCAAGAGATTGAGGCAGGAGAATCGCTTGAACCCGGGAGGCAGAGGATGCAGTGAGCTGAAATCATGCCACCACACTCCAGCCTGGGCGACAGAGCAAGACTCTGTCTCAAAAAAAAAAAAAAAGAGAATCAGAATTTTTTGTTTAACTCTATGAATGTTGTTTTGTTGCTTTTGTTCCTGACATTTTTGAGATAAGTTGGTTGGGACCATGTTCACCCTTGACCTCCTTGATCCTGACGACACCAATTCACAGTAAAGTCCACCATTCCTCATTCCTCACCCTTAGACCTCAAGTAGTTGTTCTCTTTGTGTCTTCTTCCTTGTAAAAGATGAAACAGCCAGAAAAACCAAGTGAAAGATCTAGAAAGACTTTCGTTTTTAGCAAAATAAAGTCACCTAAAGAGCTGGAGACGTGGAGACTGTGACTCAGCTTCTGATAGTTCAGGGGGTGGGGAGACACCACAACTGTCGACACAGCAGTGAAGGCCCAGTCAGTGATCCAGTCCCATCGATGGATTGCAAGGGACTTTGTTTTTCATCATTGTCAACACAGCAGTGAAGGCCCAGTCAGTGATCCAGTCCCGTCTGTGGATTACAAGGGACTTTGTTTTTTACCATTGTCGACACAGCGGTGAAGGCCCAGTCAGTGATCCAGTCCCGTCTGTGGATTGCAAGGGGCTTTCTGTTTTTCACCATTGTCAACCTAAAGAAAGAAACTGACTCAAAATTAATATGGATAGTTTATCTGGGCCAAGGTTGAGGACTATAGCCTGGTACACACTTCGTTTTCCTTGGGGAATGCTCCATTCAGCCATAGTTACAAGAAGGTTTTTTAGGGCAAAAAGGAAGAAGGTGTGGCTGACACAAAGTTGTTTGACAGTGATTCTCACTAGTTTACAGAAATAACGCTGATTGGTGATTGACTATACACTCCTGAACTGTGGCAGATGACTTATGGTGTCCAGTGTATGGCATTTTATAGCTACTTGGCATAAAATTCACTCAGTGTTAGAACTCAAGTAGCAATTGGCTTTAAGAGGTAATTATTTAGCTCAAGTAGGGTGTGGGACATGACCACCACTGCATTTCAGTGCCTCCCTGGGCCTGATAATTAAAAGGGGCTCACATTCTGTAGATAAAAAGTGTATTTATTTCTTCATTTCCCCCTTTTGATACAAAATATTTCTTCTTGAAAGCATTGATGATTAAAGGCTGAGTGTCAAGGGGTCCCTTGTCACTGGGAAGGGTCGTTCTCAGATAGCCCTGTCACGTGTTAGGGAGGAAAGAAAAGATGTTTTAGTGAGGAATTTTAAGAGAACCCAAAAGCCAAATTAGGATGGCATTACAGAGTGACAAGAATGAAACCTCAGTCACCTCAGTAATTTATTAGCTGCTGTTGCTTGTTGAATCATCTCTAGTCTTTGGAATGCCATTTTAGTTTTCTCAGAAGAAATAAAACCACAAGAGATATATAGCATTAATAATCTGAACAGCAGAAGCATAATGCACACAGGATTGGATTATAGTCCGAAACATAATTTATATGCCAGATCAAACAAACCTGAATTCCATTAGGGAACAACTAAAAATGTCAGGCAGAACATTAAATCCTGCTTCTTCTTTAGAGACTTGTAGCCAGGAGATAATTCAGGATTCAGTCCAAATTGTAGGCAAATAATAATATCACAAAAACAATAGTCTGTGCTAGAACTGAATAACAGGTGGGGTATTGAAAAATAATTTTTCTCTCTCCAGTTCCTCCAGTTTTACCAAAGATAAATCATAGTAGAATCAGTTTATTTGTAAAATAAGTTTTACACTTATTATACTTGGCATGATTATTTGCATAAGATGCAGCAAGAAGAGTGGCCATAATGACTCATTTTAGTTGGCTTTGCTGGCACTTTTTGAAAAGGAATCTCAGATTAGACTTTTAAAAGCCTCTTGTGGCTAGGAAGCCAAGTTAAGGATTCACCACCTAACTGTGCTGGTAATACCTGTATGAATTGGGTGAATTTCTTTCTTCTCGAGATCTCAGAATATCTTGAGATTACTGGGCCTTGCAGAAAGTGACATGCTTTTACTTACTGCAAGGTCAGCAACCTTGTAAGGGAACTATGTTGACAAGGAACCAGGCCAGCCATTTGCCAAGTCCACTGGCTATAAAGTCAACTTCAGCCCTTCAAACCAGTCTGGTCATATCTGAAAATCTGTCATTCCAGTCGAAGCCTTGGTAAAATAACCAGTGCTTTCAATGTGTCCTGTTACAAAAGAAAACAGATCCTATTGAACTTATGCAAGTAAGTATGTTGCCATAAAATGAAAATACAAATAGTTTCTGAATGTTGGAGGAATCAGGAAGAATGAAAGATAAATGTCTCAGTTTGCCCACAATAGTATACTTTACCCAGTTGCTATAAGCTATAAATAGCTGAAAAAGAAAAGTTTTCTTGATGCTAAAAAACAAAACATGAAAAGAACCTACTGTGTTTCAAACAAAAAGAAGTCACAAAAATTATTTCAGTGCTCTGTCACTTCAGTGCCATGTACTTAATTTTTATTCTGCTTGAAGTTGGGTTAGCAATCTTTATGAACTCATCAGGTTTTAAATTAGATTACTGGATTTTTTTTTATCTTGTTCAATGACATGATCTCCAAAATTATCAGAAACTTGTATTCAGAGTGCTTGTTGTGATCTTCTCCATAAGGTTACTTGAAGATACAATGCTTTGGCATTTACAAAGAACTTTTAGGAAAAGAGAGCATCAGAATAAAGCAATTTACTGTTTATGTCAAGACACATCAAATTTTTCAGTATCTTTTACAATTATAGAATGCATATTAGTAGCATATTCATATAAAAATAACCTGAAGAAAGTTAAACACCATCTCTTGGCTGGGCACGGTGGCTCACACCTGTATTTCCAGCACTTTGGGAGCCCGAGGCAGGTGGATCACCTGAGGTCAGGAGTTTGAGACCAGTCTGGCCAACATGGTGAAACCCCATCTCTACTAAAATACAAAAATTGCTTGAACCTGGGAGGCAAAGGTTGCAGTGAGCCAAGATTGTGCCACTGCACTCCAGCCTGGAGTAAGACTCTGTCTCCAAAAAAAACCAACCAAACAAAACAAAACAGAAAGTTAAATACCACACCATCTCTTATGTAACAATGCGTCCAGTATGATTTTCATGTACCAAATATGTGTAATATGCCTCTCTTGGAGTTCCAGGGTCCCTGTTTGGATTTCCAGGAGCCCTAATCTCCAAAAGTTAGTTCAGTGTGAAAAAGACTCAATTAGAATTTGAAGTTTCATTTTAGGAAGTTTGTCAAATG